TATATATATATATATGTATATATATATATATATATATACAAGGTAACCGGCGTTCGGGACAGGCCGAACGCCCGAACCCGAACGCCCGAACGTATGGGACCCCTTGGGGATGCGTTCGGCCGTTCGGGCCGAAAGCGGATTAAAAAAAAAATAAAAAAAATAAAAAAAAATAAAAAATCAAAACAATTTTATCGAGAAAAATAAATTAAACAAGATTTGCCCGAACATTACATCCGAATTCCTTACCAAATTTGAAGTAAAAATAAAATACGGAAAACAAATACTAATAATAAAAATAAAAAGAGAATTAAATTTAGTGAATGCGCGAGCATGTTTTCGACACCGCCATCTTTGGTGATTTTTCATTTTGTTTTCGCATCGTTAAATGCCCTTACCGATGTGTACTTCACATAATACAAAACCCACTAAAAAAGTTTCAAACAATAATAAAATTGTTTAGACCCCGAACTAAAGTGAAAACAAAAAGTAAAAAGTGAAACAATACGTGGGCGAGCACGTTTTGACACCGCCATCTTTGGTGATTTTTTATTCTTATTTGGCTTCGCCAAATGACTTGAAAATTTGCAGGCATGTACCTCACGTCATAGAGAACTCACAAAAAAACATTCAGCAAAACATGATTACTTTTAGGCCCCGAAATCATTTTTGGCGGGGCCCGTTTGCTGTCGGGTTCGGACCCCGTACGGACCCCGAACGCCCGTACGTACGGAGGTCTGCCCGAGGACCTCCGTACGTACGGGCTGGTGACCCTATATATATATATATACATATATATATATACATATATATATATATGTATATATATACATATATATATATATATATATATATATATACATATATATATACATATATATATATACAGGGTTACCTGACCGAACGTTCGGGGGCGCCCGGGCTGGCCCCCGAACGTTCGGGTGTTCGGGGTCCCGTTCGGGGGCCGAACACCTCCAGGTTCCGCCCCCGCCAAAAAAACTTTTGGGGCTTAAAAATAAGTTTTTTTTTTGATTTTTTTGTTTTGAGTTTTCTATGATGTAAACTACACGCCTATAAATTTTGAAGTCATTTCGCTAAGCCAAAAAAACGTTAAAAATCGTCAAAGATGGGGGTGTCAAAATGTGCTCGCCCACTCACTATTTTGTTTTCTTTCACTTTTAACTTTTTGTTTTCACTTTATTTCGGGGCCTAAAAAATTTTATTATTTTTTGAAAATGTTTTAATGAGTTATTGATTATGTAAGCTACATATCTGTAAATTTTTAGGGCATTTGTCAATGCCAAAAAGAAATCAAAAATCACCAAAGATGCCGATGTCGAAAACACGCTCGCTCACTCACTAAATTTAGTTCTCTTTTTATTTTTATTTATTTTTATTACGAGTATTTATTTTTCGTATTTTATTTTTATTTCAAATTTGGTAAGGAATTCGGATGTAAGGTCGGGCAAATCTTGTTTAATTTATTTTTCTCCATAACATATCTTTGTTCCAGATTTTTTTTTTTTATTTATTTTTTTTTTATTGTCCGCGTTCAGCCCGAACGGCCGAACGCATCCCCAAGGGGTCCCATACGTTTGGGCGTTTGGGTTCGGACGCTCGGCCCGTCCCGAACGCTGGTTACCCTCTCTCTCTCTATATATATATACAGGGTCACTAGCCCGTACGTACGGAGGTCCCTAGGCAGACCTACGTACGTACGGTCGGGGTCCAAACCCGACGACGTTCGGCCCCCGCCAAAACTTATTTCGGGGCCTAAAAATAATTATTTTTTTCTGAAGTTTTTTTTTTTAGTTCTATAACGTGAGGTCCATGCCTGTAAATTTTCAAGTCATTTGGCTAAGCCAAATAAGAATTAAAAATCGCCAAAGATGGCGGTGTCAAAACGTGCTCGCCCACATATTTTTTCATTTTTTACTTTTTGTTTTCACTTTAGTTCGGGTTCTAAACAATTTTATTATTTTTTGAAACTTTTTTAGTGGGTTTTGTATTATGTGAACTACACATTTGT